AGAGGACGGCAGCACTGTAATTTCCCGTGTTCAGTGAATGCAACAGAGGCATGACACCAGACCAATCAGAGAGTTGCATGGAAATAAACGTGTGCTTGTGTCATTCAAGCTCGGCTCTGTGTGTGTGTGTGTGTGGCAATAGCGCATTTATTGTGATAGAGAGAGAGAGAGGGAGAGAGGGGGAGAGAGGGGGAGAGAGGGGGAGAGAGGGACCGTGTCAGCATGGACCGTGTTGTTAGCATCTGGTTAGCTAGCTGCACTAACGGACATAAGGAGCTGTTTGTTCCACAAGAAGCTGGAGGAGAGTCCTCTCCTCTCAGACTGAGAGACTCAGGTGAGCTAAAGGACTCTCTGAGTGTTTAGATAGTTAACTTTAGTCTAAGTTATCTCAGTGGGTCTCAAACGGTTTGGTCACAAATTATTCAAAAGATTATTTCCGCGGCACACCTTCATATGATCATTATAGTTATTAAAAAAAAGAGAATAAAGGAAAAACAGTTATGAAATACTATATGGCAGTAAAACAAGAATAGAGTTTAAAAGGGGAGTGATTAGTAAAATATCCATAAAGAAAAAGTACATCTGTTTACAGTTCTGCTTCATATGGGTGTTGAGAGAGGTATCCATAGATCTCTTCATTTTGCTCTCAAAGTGCACCAGATTGATGCATTTAACTTCAATATTTAAAAAAAATCTTCCCGGGGGAGCATCCCCCCGGACCCCCCTAGAGGAGGTGAGCCCCCCACTCATAAAAAATACCACTTTACCCCTGCCTATATGCCTGAGCTGATTATCGAGCCTTCATTGTAACAGTCGCGGGTGTACTGTGTGTGTGCGTGTGCGGAGTGTTGCAGTAAAAAATGCCACTGTAGTGCCGCCGCCACTGTGGGCTAACCCCTAGATTCCACCGGGTCCGTCTGCGGCGCGTTACGGACGCGTTACGGACGCGTTACGGCTGCGCCGCGGTGCTCAAGGTGATCGCGGCCACTCTAGTCAATGGGTGCTATTCCACCACACGCGGCGCGTTACGGCTCAGACGCGTCCCAGAAGCAGCTCGGCGCAGGGCTTTTCTAAAATTAGGATCGAATCCTATTTTTGTCGCGGCGCAGCCGTAACGTAAGGTCGGGCAGGCAGGAAGTGGAACGTTCAGAGCTATATAGACCTATATATATACACACACACAAATTAATTTTGCAGACCCTATCCCTCCGTAGTCTTTCAAGTAGGAGGAGAAATGCCAGCGTTCTCCTCCGGTTTACAGGCACTGTAAATTATATATATAGAATAATTATGATGATGAATGCATTTTTTTTACCACTAAAATACAGCAACACATCTTTAATTCATGTCGTTTATAACTGGAATATTACAGTTATTATTAACTTTGTCTGTACAAAGTAGCCTGTCCAGGAAATATGCCCAAATCAACAAAAACTGCGAGCCGGCAGGCAAGACGCTCCGCTTCTGAAATGCTTCTGAAACGCGCCTGGTAGGGTATGACGCCGGAGGAGGCCGGACCAAAACCGCGGCGCAGCCGTAACGCGGCGCAGACGGACCCGGTGGAATCTAGGGGTAAGCCGCTTCAAGAAAAAAATTATATAGGTTCTGGCTGTGGCTCTTGAAATCCCTGGTAGTCGGGTGATGGGAATGTATCACGGATCTTTACCACGACACAGGCAGGCAGTGGTACCCTGATTTGCTTGCCGAGGTATCCCCAGCACCATCGTACAAATTGGCGGTAGGCAGTGTAGCGTCAACGTCTGTAGTGAAAAACATAGGGAGAGTTAGTTATTAGCTTTAATATGCATCATACATTACGAAATTTAAGATGTTCATATCTGTAAAATAGTTTTGTGATGTGTGTTACGTGCCATAGTGGGTGCTTGTGTGTGTGTGTGTCTCTCTCTCTCCCTGATTGTCTCCAGGTGCAGCCTCTCCCCCAGGTGCTCCCAATCCCTAATCAGGGCCTCCATAAAGGACCTGAGGAAGGCTGCAGTGGCCCTCTCCCCTTCTCCTCTGGCTGCATGTGTGCAGCATGGTGTCTGTGTCTCTGTGTGAGGCCTAGTTTAATGTGTGTGTTGCTCATTGTTAGATGTGCTCCAGTGTACCTTTGTACCTTGTTTAATGTAGTCACTTTCTGTTTAAAGTGGACCTATCATGCTATATTTGAATAATATAGGGTAGGACCATACCTATATAAGGCATATTTATACTTCTTTTTTTTCAAAATACCAAACAGATCATGCATTTTAGCCATGCCTCATTTCGCTCAGTTTGTACTTTTTTAGCTCTGTTTTTGCAAGGGCAGATTATGTGAGAACAGCACCATCTACAGGCCTGGCATATGTACTACAGCGTCTCCAGCGCTTTCGAACGGCAATGGCCGTGGCTGTCTCCTCCTGATTGGTGGAGTTGGCCCAATAGCCGTAGCGCCACTGTCCTGACGTCAGGACAGTGTTCAAATCTGGATCAGTTTTTATCAGATCCGTTGCAGCCCCTTTTTTAGAGATTTGGGTATGGAGGAAAATAGAGAGGGTTGTGTTTTCTGACACTTGGTGAGTTCCCTGGAACACCGGGGACACATATTCATGTGTAAAAGACGTACAAAAGTGCATTTTGCATGATAGGTCCCCTTTAAAGAAAGTTGTTATAGTTTATTTTGCAAGTTGGCTGGTGAGCCCTTTTTCTTTGTTTAATTAAAAGTCCATCTTGTGGCTTCACAAACCGGTTTCCTCCTTTTTCTCTTGCCAGGTTGTTTTTGTGTTTTGTTACTTCTCTTTGGTTCCCCTAGTCCAGTAGGGAACGTAACATGTGGCAAATATAATAAGTACTATGGCAAATGCCCACAAAAGTGACAGTGAAATATGTCTGTTACCACTAGTAGTAGTAATGTTTCAGTGGGCAAGCTAAAATCTGTAGTGGTATTGTCATCAGTGTACATGGACTACTTGCATCAATATGCAGGGTTCTTACACCTTTTCCAAAGTCAAATTCAAGCACTTTTCAAGCATTTTCAAGGTGAATTTTCAAGCTTTTCAAGCATCTTACAGCTGTTGTAAATTACATATTTATATACACATACTTATACTCAAATGATTATTTCCCTACCTCACATTAAATCAGATGTTTTTATGCTATAAACAACCAAATGTGTGTTTCATAATAGCATTCTACATGAGGATGAAAAATTAAAGAAAACTAAGTTTAATATTTCAAAATGAGTGACCCATCTGTACGTAGACTGGGCATCCCATATAACCTGGCTGAGCCAATATAAAACAATCAGCCACATAACCTTTCAATACATTATTGATTACTATTTTTGAGGTAATTTTAGGTTGGCAGTAAACACAAGTCAGAGGGAAATGGTGTACTTTTGTGAAATATAATCAAGTGTTAAATCAGACTTTAGTTCCACCAGGGGGGTATACTACGAATCTAGTTCAACATATCCTGGATATGTTTTGAGTTATCCGGCTGACTAAATCCAAAAAAAAAAAACGCTCTCGCTAAACTGTCCTACGACGCTGGCTATCACCTCGATCGTAAGCCAGCCGTGTCCTATCTAGTTAGGTGCGCGTTCACATGAAAGGGGTTGTATTTGGAGCATTCGACCAATCACAAACATGGACAAGGCTAGAGCAGCGTACTTCACAGCGGAGGAGCAAAGTGTTATAATGAGCCGCTTTGAGGACTTCAAGCACATGATAAAAGTTAAAAGCAACACGGTTGCGGCTGCCAAAAGTCGCCAAAGTGGTTGGCAACAAATTGCTGACTCTGTGAATGCGTAAGTAAATTACGTCCTATGTAACAGCGTGCACAGCTGCACATCTTTAAAAAGTGTATTGAATGCACGGCAGTCATGTCACGCTTCCAGATTAATTTTCTAGTTCAGCGGATAAATAGTCATTAAAATACCAAATTGATCATTGAATGGCAGCCTTTTTGTCTTTATCATATCATCGCCCGAGGGTCACAAGTGGACTTTGAGCCATGCTTTAAGCCTAATGTTTTTTTTTATCCTTTTAATTTATAGCATTTATTTTTAATTCAAGCTGTACATGACATTTTCGTTTCGTTTTTCAGATGTAATCCCGGCGGCTCCAAAAGGACCTGGGAACAGACCAAAATAAAATACAAGAACATCCTTCAATCTGGTCAATTTCCCTCTTTTGAGATCTTGAAAATACACGTTTTGTATTGCTTCAATTGGTCTGTGTTTCATAACTGTATAGGAAAGCGGTCACATTTTTTCCCAATTCTTGCAGCCAACAAGAAAAAAAAGGACCAGAGGAAGACAGGAGGGGGCCCTCCTCCAGCAGAGTTCACCCCTGCCGAGGAGCTGGCCCTCAGCAACAATGAGGGTCGGCCCTTGATGGTAGGGGTGGAAGGGGTGGAAGGGGGGTTCTCTACAGACCCTGGTTGCAGCAGGTCCCACCACGTTTTTATACAGGGTAAGAGTCAGGGAGCTTTAAACAGCTGGGTTGCTATAAAACACAATTATATATCTATTTTTGTGGGAGTAAGTAACATGTATTTTATTGTTCTGCAGATGATGGGAAGAACGTGGTGTTGCTGCCCCCCCCCCCCCCCCCCCCCAAAATCAACAACTATACCTCATACAGAGGTAACGTAACCTTTGGTATGTCACCTTGAGCTGAATATGGATAAAATAGACCATTTACATTTATTCTTCTTTTCAGGGGGGCCTAGATGAGGATGACACACTGTCAGAGAGCGCAGAGATGGTGTGGACACGTTGCTTTAATTGATTCTTTCTGATTACTTGCACATGGTGGTGGTCTGCACATGGGACAAAAAACTACTATGTATTGAAAATATATTTGCTTTGCTCAATTCGCAGGAAGAAGGAACTCTTCCTCCCCCGCAGCTACAGGTGCTGATTCCTCCCCCGCATCTACAGGTGCTGATTCCTCCCCCGCAGCTACAGGTGCTGATTCCTCCCCCACAGCAGGTGCAGATTCCTCCCCCGCAGCCTGGGCCCTCATCTAGGCCCTCATCTAGGCCCTCACGACAAGTAATTAATTAAACAAAACGTAAAAGTATAGTCAAGTTTAAAATTGTCAGCTTTCTTGCTGTGAGCCATGCTTGAATGTTAAAGCAACATATATGTGTTTCAGGCTGAAGCAGACACTGTGCGGGCCCTGTACAAACGGACCCTAGTCCAAAGCATCCAATTGAATGACCTCCTCATAGAGCACCAGAAGCTGTTGATGGAAAAAACAAAGCTGGAGGTGGAGAAATTGGAGAGAGAAAGACAGGTAATTTTGTAACATTCAGTAATTTTTTTTCAAGTCAAATGAAAGGTGCATAAGGTGACCTTTACATCTTTTAGGATACCTAAAACACAAATCCCTTTTGTCTTTAACCTGTTTCACACCATCCCCCCGGTACCGGGCGGATAAACGCGTCATTTGCAGGAAACAACGTCTAAGGAATCTTAATATTGAATAAAACGATGAATGTGTTATATCCATGTAACGGGAAGAAACTCAGCTAACTGATCTTTTTAATTTTTTTTTTCAAAAAAAAACCACAATGCTAGCACTCAGCCTCTGAATTAGCCTCGATCGAAAAAACGGAACCTACAAAGGCACTTAAACTCACTCATAACTCCCTTATTACTTATCCTAGATGCACAGCCAACCACTCGTTTTTGGTGTCCTGGAGACACTGAATCTGTGTAAAAAACCTCAACACTCAGTGATAAACATTCGCGACGCTATAAACGAAAGCGTACATCATCACATGTGGAGCTAAGTAGCTAAAAAACGTAAATATGCCTTACCTTGGTCAAAAGTGGTCTTCAATGGCATTAAAACGATAAAAAAAACGATGCTGCAGTTAATCCATAGGTTCATCCTATGTGTCTGTGCCTTCTTTGAAATTATTTCTGATAATCCATAAGCAATACAACTGCGTTTTAGTTTCCAAACTCCAGAAGGAGACATTCCTCCACTTTGGTTTCGTTTTCCACACGCGAAGCGCCCACATTTTTTCTTTACAACGTGTGTGGGTGTGTGCTTCCCCCTTTGATTCTATTTGCTCTAACGGTCACAAGGGTATGTCAACCAACCAAATCGACCAAGGGGGGCCAGAGATAGGTCAAATCCACCCAAATGACCCCAGAAGTGGGTGTTTTTGGCTAAATCTCTCTAAAAAGGTCAAATTTCACTTGTTTTGCATCAATCTTGATACAGGGTACTTATTATATGTTGTACTTTGGATTCCTAAAGCTTTTAGTCTACTAACCCATCATCCAAGGGTAGTTTTCACTATCTGTAAAAAATAATATTTGGACGGACACTATAATTTACAGTTTTTTACTATGTAAAATCTGAATTTTCTTTAAAATAAAAAACATTTATATTGATTCTGACACTTCTACATCCAACTCACAGGTTTATCATTACTTTGAGAACAAAGATTATTAATTTAACCCTTTTAGAAGGGAAGATATGGTCATTTGTTCTGGGAATGTCATTTTTGAGCCTGAGACCTGAAAAACAGGCTCAGAGTGGAACAGGTTAAAGAAAAAGTAAACCAAGAAATATGTTTTTTTTCTCTTTTTCCGTCAGGAATACCTCACAAAATAAAAACTCCGACATAAATCACCCAAGGTCTCTCTCTCTCTGTGTGTTCTTTTGTTATTGGCCAATATAACATGCAATAGCATCTCTGACAGCCCTGCCAGTAGGGTAGTCCAGGGTGATGGGGTCTACCACATCAGGAGGTTGGGGGATTGCATGAGGGGCCCTCTCATTCCTCATGGTTGCAATGTTGTGCAGCACAACACAGGCCGTTATGATGGGAACCGCTCTTTCAAGGGCCACTCTGAGCCCTCGCAGGCAGGTGAATCGGGCCTTCAGTAGTCCAAAGGTCATTTCTATCCTGACCCTGGTTTTGGTATGGGCCACATTGAAAGTCGTTTGTGGCCCTTCACCAGGGTCAGGATATGGGGTCATTAGGAAAGGCTGGCAGGCATAACCCCTGTCCCCGAGCAGCACTCCACTGAAGACTCCTGAAGATAAAGAAACATTTCCATAAGTATACACAAAAGGCAGCTTAAGAAGCACAAAACAATAAGAATGTACAGTTGCCATACCCTGTTCGAGTTTGTGACACAGTGATGACTCTGAGAAGATCCTCGAGTCATGGACTGACCCAGGCCACTTTGCATCAAGGCTGGTGATGAGACACCTGTGGTCACATGTGGCCTGCAAAAGAATTTGGGGTTAACAAGCCTACTTCCACAATAAGAGCATCTAGTCAGTGTAGCATCAATGTTCATTTGAAATGAGTCCATGTTATAGAGAAAGATAGTCCAAGTGTGAAACATGTACTGTGTGAATATTTAAATGTGTGATTTCCTTTAATCACCCAGACTTCAATGTGTGTTCTATAAGTGAATGTGCAAGATTTACCTGAATGTTGAGGCTGTGGAAGGATTTGCGATTTACATAATCGCCTTCATTTTCTCCCAGGGACGCAGAGATGGGTATGTGTGTACAGTATATACAGCCAAGCACCCTGGGAAACCCTATGAAATAGTAGGTTGCATTTATTATACAACAGTGTACAGGGACACAAATTCAGCCCGGGACGTTCAGACGCACCGGCCCATTCGTGCGGACCACCCTTTAGCCCGTTATAGGTTCTGATTGGCTCTCTAGGTTGGCATTCTAGCTTCTGACTGGCCATCGGGACGTGTACGTCATAGGAACAACATTCACTGTAAAGATATAATCACATACCTGCCATGCTGTAAAATCCCTCTTTGATCATCTGCGTGGGACATGTGCCAGGAAACACAATAAAGGACTCTGCGAGCCCTGTCAGAGCTTGTGTGACCTTATGAATAGCACTGCAGACTGTATTCTTGCTGAGGTTCTCTGCATCACCCACAGAATACAAAAAACTTCCGGTCGCAAAAAATCGCAAAGCAATACATACAGTCTGCGGCACTGTAAGGGCACAACTCTGATGTGTGGCATTAGCAATATGTGGCTCAAGGAGCTGACTAAGATAAGTCAGCCCTTCTGACGAGAACCTGTATCTTCCATACAAATACTCTTCAGAGAAAGCCAAAGGGTTTATTCTTTCCCTAAAGATCCTCTCCCGCCTGAGAGCGCCTCTCGCAATCCGAGCTCCGAGCTCCACAGTGTTTTCGAGAAAAGGCGACGTCATTTTCACAGAGATTTCATTGGTCGATAGGCGGAGCTTTTATAGGCTGAGCTCTTATCCTGGAACCTATCCTGGCTCCGGAGGATAGCCGTTCAGAATAAGTTATCTAGCCTGCTAAAAAGTGAACCAGCTTCGTAGGACCGGAAACCCCTGAAGTTAGCTTGCTAAACGAAAATCTTGATTCGTAGTATAGGCCCCTGGAGTAAATTCACAAGCTACCCTGCAGTATACAAAGTCATTCAAACTAGCTGCACTTTTACCAGCTTTGAGAACACTTTCATGATCAATCATTATAAAACATATCATAGATATTATTCTGAAATGGACCAATCTGCACAATGACTACTTTTGCTGTTGCTACTTTAACTATATTTTGATGATAATACTTTTATACTTTTACTTGAGGAACATTTTGAATGCAGGACTTTTACTGTAACAGAGTATTCCTACACTCTGGTACTTCTACTTTTACTCAAGTACAAGACCTGAGTACTTCTACTTTTACTCAAGTACAAGATCTGAGTACTTCTACTATTACTCAAGTACAAGATCTGAGTACTTCCACACTACAAGATCTGAGTACTTATACTTTTACTCAAGTACAATATCTGAGTGCTTATTCCACCTCTGGTAGCGTATTAGCCTGAATTGTAGCCACAAAATCACGCAGAGCTGCATAAAAATAGACTCACAATGGTAACAAGTGGAAAATAATATTTACAAATGTGTACAATGATTTGTAGGTCATTTTGACTACTCAAGACACCTGACTTATACATCTTCAAAGGAAGACTGTGTTCATTCTACAATTACATGGGATTAAAGCAAAATGTAGTTTTACTTGTATAATACTTCAAGATTTTATATAAAAGACTGTTTCTAAAAGTATCAACCATAGCGACGCGGTCAAATCCTCAGTTTATAATTTATAACAACATACTAACAAGCTAAGGTCTAATTACGCAACCAAGTCTCACGGCATTTCGTGTTATAGTCACGAAATAAATGTAATCTATTGATTCGTGTTCACCAACACGATTTCCCCCTTTTTTTCGTGTCACACAGAACGATTTTAAAAGCAATGTATTTCTATTGGTAGTATGTTTCGTGCCTGCGTCTTTTTGTCCGGTCGGGTCTTGGAAGACCGGAAGCTGTGTGGTTCATAAAAACATGTTCTTACCTTTATATATACGGTTCTTACTCAATATCAAGCCACAATTATTGTTTTTATTTTAAATCGGATAATGTCGTTTTCTTTTACCGTCTGTGAGGAAAAGAAATGGGGCTCAGAGCCTCAGAATACTGAAATCTGTATATATTTTTTTCCTTCTAATTTGTTATTATTTGTGACCCGCTCTATCGAAATCAGTCAAAAGTCGTAACGGCTCATTTAAAAAATAAACGTGGATTTGTATAAAAAAACTAGTTGTTCAGGGTTCGGGTGTTTTGTTTGATTTTAAATAAACAAAGTCTTGGCTTTCAGAATATGAAACTATTATTGCCAAAATCTCATGATAAATACATGTTTGAAGCTTGTAAATGGAAGAAGAGTTAATACTTTGTTTATTTTCAAATAAACAAAGTATTGGCTTTCAGAATATTAAACTTGTTTCGGCAAATTCAGATGATAAATACAACTTTGAAGCTTGTAATGGCATAATTACAAGCGGAGAACGGAGTAATTTAACGTCACAGCAAGCATAACAGCCGGTGTTTCTTGTGAGTGTTTCCCCGGTACACAAACACAATACACACAAACGCAAAAATACACAAACACAAAGACATACACACTTGCGAGCTTCCCCCAGACCAGTAATACAAACGAAAATGTGTCTGCGGGTCAATGTGACTGATTTCGATAGAGCAAGTCACATTTGGTTTAGACACGAAACATACTACCAGTAGAAATACATTGCTTTTAAAATCGCTCTGTGTCGAATCAATAGATTATATTTTGTGACTATAACACGAAATGCCGTGAGACTGGGTTGAATTACAACAGTGAGTGCTTCATCCTCTGAACACCACACAATGGCGACTGTAACGCACATATTAACATAGGTACGCTCCTCTGAAATGATTGTCCCCTGCAATTATTATTATCCCTCATCGAGTTCGCTATTCAGCTTGCTAACGTTAGCTTAAACAAACGTAACATGCAACGTTAGCCTAATCTAAAATGCT